AGAGCAGTTTTCTCTGTCTCTGGGTCCCAAGAGGGCATGGAGAGTTGCGGACGGACCAACACCGAACCACACTAATCCTCCTCTCTCGCCAGCAGGCAGCAGCGGGCGGTTCGAGAGTGTGATCAAAGGCGCGGGAGTAGACGCAGGGGGCCGCCCTCGGCGATGAGCAGGCTGGGGCGCTGCGGCCGGCGGACAGATGGAGGCAGCAGCTGCCCGCCGAGGCAGGACATGTCGGATCGCCTCAGTCTGCTCCTGTGCAGCCGAGAACTGCTGGGCCATGTTCTCAACTGCGTCGCCGAAGAGGCCGGTCTGGGACACAGGGACCTTGAGGAACCGAACTTGTCGGCGTCCCTCATGTCGGCCAGACACAGCCAGAGATGGCGCTCCTGGACCACAGGTGTGGACATCGCACGACTCAGAGAACTCGCATTGACCTTCGCGAGGTCAGTTGCAGTTCAGAGCTCTTTCAGAACTTCCGGATCGTGACCACCCTCGTGCAGGTCCCTCAGTGCTTTAGCCTGAAGAAACTGCAGTAACGCCATAGCATGTAAGGCGGAGGCAGCTTCTCCACAGGCCACATAAGCATCGCCGGACAGACCAGACGAGTACCTACAGACCCGGGAGGGGAGGCACGGTTTGCCCTGCCGGATGGAGGCGGTATCAGGACACAACTACATCGCAACTGACCGCTCCACCGGGGGGACCCCCGTATACCCCCTAGCTGCACCACCGTCGAGAGTGGTGAGGGAGGAGGAGTTAGCAGGTCGGTTTCCTGCAGAAAAAGGTGCCTTCCACGACCTGGTAAGCCCCCTCATGCACCCCCGGGAAGAATGGCACCGGGGCGGGGCGCTAAGAACCAGCGCGGACCACCCCGAAGAACCAATCGTCCAACCTCGAGCCCTACCCTCACGGCAGCCCGGGAAAGCATAGCCGTCATTTCCGGATCCGATTCAGGCATTCTACAATCCCGGAGGGCAGTGAAGGATACTGCTGGTGCGCTCCTTGTAGAGGGCCCAACATGTTCCTTTGGCAGCTCAACTGGTTGCGGAGTGCAAGATGAGCGATGGTCCCCCGAGGGTTGGTTCCCTGGGGGGTTTGCCATCACTGTTACCCTCAGACCACCCATGATACTGCCTGAACTAGCCCCCTCCTGACTGCTGCCAAGATGAGAACTAGATCAAGGCAGAGGCAATGGAGCTCCGCCCCTTTTGAGGTAACAGAGCTTGGCCCGCAACTCCGAGTTGGTCATCTTCCTGCAATGAGAACATGACTCATCCACGAACGCCACCTCATCGTGCTTAATGCCCAGACACATGAGGCAGCGATCGTGACCATCATCCGGCACCAGGTAACGACCACATCCAGAAACGCACGGGTGATACGTTGTCTGTAGCAAGACGCAACGTCGTCTTTACAAAGACGCAATGTCAAGTTTGCCAGATGCAACGTCGTCTTTAAAAAGACGCACCCGTGAATGCTCTTTTAGGGAAAAAGCTCTTTCAGCGTGCTGAAGCGCACAGGGGAGATGGCCGCCTGCAACACAAACGGGGTAGTGCAGCCTGATGTGGCAACCCACTCGACACGGGAAAACCACCACCGCTGAAGAGCTGTACCGCCAACACCAAGAGCTCCAAAGACCGCGCTGAACTCGTTCAGTCTTCTTCTCTCAGTAGAGTAGTCAGGAGCAAAACGATGTGATCGCTCGGCTCCGAAGCGAAAAGCTGAGTATGCATTGCACCTGCTGCCTAGATATACTCGCACTGCGATCAGAGGCAGCTGGATGCAATCATCGCATGCCAATGTGCATTGGCTTGTTTAGTTTACACTGGAAGTGTATTTCTCTCTCTAAGCGAGATCCCAATTCGTCGGTCATCGACGTGACGTCGAGAGTGAACAACTGAAAGGGAACTCAAATTCTGATATACGGTTGAATAAGAGTCAATTCTATTTTTTTATGTCTGGATTATGTGATTCTGTCCACATTTTCCACATTAAACCAGCAGCAGTGCCATCAAGATAAGATACTAAACCAGCCATATTCATTTACTCTGATTTTACTGTGGGAACTGCAGTACCTGTGGTGTGACCAGGCTCCTGCCCGTCAGACGCAGATCCTCAGATTGGACTGCATTGTTTGTCTTTCAGGGAAACTAAATAATAAATAATAGAATGCCAACCAGATTTACAGATTTCATAATTTCACCCCACTGTGAAATACTAATGAATTACTCAAGGCCAGAACCATTAAAATCATTTTGATTTTTAATGAAATAATGAAAGGATTTAAAGGGATTTAAGAAAGGATTTAAGGGAATAATAATAAAAAAATATATATTTTAAAAAACTGTTCACTTGTAATCATATGCCTAACATGTTGAAAACGACTTGGCAAAAAATGTTTTTCACCTCATAACATTAAGTTATGAATTAGAGGAGCCACAAAAAATAATTCGAAATAGCAGAATTTTATATTAAAAAGAGAAGTAGTTTTACATAGCTGCAATTAAAGGATTTAAGCGATTTAAGGGAATAAAGACAAAGGAAGAAAAACAATAAAATAATTAGAATGTATTGTAATCCATTGGAATTATTTGCGAATAATATTTTTATTTTAAAATACACACACATTAACTCAATCATATGCCTAATATGTTGAAACATGTTCTAACTGTGAAATTTGCAGTTCAAGGATTTAAAGCGATTTAAGGGAATTGAATACGAAACAAGAACAGTTAAAGAACTAGAATGTATTGTAAAGTAATCCTTTGCAACTAATTGTAAATAATCATTTTAATTTTAAATTTAATTATATGGTTAATATGTCGTAAACAGCTCAATGACATTTAGATGAAATTCTAAATGAAAGTTGACCAAAAAAAAAAAAAACACTGCATGACCGGATATTACTGTTTGTTGTTTAATATATCTATCTTAAAACAGTTGTCAAACATTAAATGTTTAGCTCCATTTTTCATATGCTCTTTTACCATTAAGACTGAAGTGTTGCTTCAGTGAACTAAAGCCCCGCCCTCTTCGATTTGATTGGCCGTCTCAATCATTTTGACATTGTGTGTGGTGTGTGTGCAGGACGGCGGGATGCTGATCAACAACCCCACGGCTCTGGCCATCCACGAGTGTCAGTGTCTGTGGCCGGACGTCCCGCTGCAGTGCGTGGTGTCTCTGGGGACGGGACGCATCCAGACGGCCGGCAGGACCAGCGTCTCCTACACCAGCCTGAAGACCAAACTCAGCCACGTCATCAGCAGCGCCACCGACACCGAGGGTGAGTCCACCCCGTCACATGTGTGATGACTGACAGCTGTCACTCCGGGATCAGACCACGAGCACCGTCACGGCCAAACAGGAAGTCTTTCAGTAATGCAGTGCTTATGACGGAAGAGCTGGTTTTACCCAGAGGCCTTTGCTCCAGCTGAGATTAAACCTGCTCGTGCTGTAATCACACAGGATATTTATAAATCCAGATTAATTCCCTTCCTCCCAGTGCGAGCGCTGCATTCACAGCCGTCAACACACAGACGCGCTGCTGCTAAAATGAGGATGGGTTGATGTGATGTATATCTAATGATTCATTATATAATGATGTGATTCACTGAGCCTCATCCATGAAACATACATTTTCTCTTTGTTATTTTCAAATGATTTCACAATTGATTCAGTTTATGTAAGAATGAACTCACAATCGATCTTTCCATCCACATATTTTATGTGCATTTGTTATGCAATATTTAGCAAAGCAAATAGAATAAACCAGTAACTAAGTTTAATAGGTTAATTTAGCAACTGAAATGTAGTAAAGGAGGAACAGAACATACAATGCTGATGCAGTAAATGTACCGCTCATCAGATGGATCAGGCAGTGAGTCTGCGTCTGTTTGTGTTTCAGAAGTGCACACTATGCTGGACGCTCTGCTCCCGCCGAACACGTACTTCCGCTTTAACCCCTACATGAGCGAGGACGTGGCTCTGGACGAGAGCCGAGAGGAGAAGCTCTCACAGCTGCAGGCCGAGGGTCTTCAGTATCTGGAGAGGAACCAGGAGAAACTCCAGCGAGCCGTCAGCGAGCTCACGCGAGACAAGAGCTCCACGCAGAGACTGAGCGAGTGGCTGCGGCTCAGAGCGCTCATGCACCAGGGGTTCTACAAGATCTAGAGGAAGCACGCTCTGGATCACTGATGGGACTGTGGATCTGAGGAGCTTCATGAGGGACACAGTTAAAGACTCGCGCTCAGGGACTGACTCGGTTCAGATCATCAGGGCAATAGACCACTGTTTTATTTTATTTATATTATTTTTTTATTCATTTTATATTATTTTATTTTATTTATTTTTATTTTATTTATTTTGTTAGGGTTAGGGTTATTTTATTTTAAAAAAAATTTACTGAAACAAAGTTTGCATTAAAACTTCTAACACAGTAAAAAATTATGAAGTAGAATCAGGCATCAAAAAATGATAATGTCCAGAAGAAAAGAAATCAAGTTTATGTCTACAGCAAATCAGCTTCACAGTAATACACTGGAAAACAACAGTGTGAATGTCGTAAACATTCATTAGTTATTAAACAAATGTAGTTTCAGCTGTAAAGCAGCTCTACAGAAGATAAAAGAATCAGTTGAATTCAGAACTGTTTAATGTTTGTAACCTGCTGTACATTGATACAGGATTGGATTCTAACACTGATGATGAAATGAAATTCTAGAATCATCATGAAGACTTTCAGAACACACTTCTTAAAGCACTCTCATGTTTGATCATTATATGACTGTATGACTGTACATTATTTTATAAATCTGTATTTTACACTTGAATAGAAATGAACAGTTGACTTGCGCTGAGCTGGATCTCTTGGCGTGTGAATCAGAAGCTCTCAGTCGTGAAAGGTTTCATGGGCTCCAAACATGCTGTGCAGTGACTGATGGGATTGATCAGCTTGTAGCTGCTGCTCGAAGACGACACGCTCAGCTGAGTCTAAGATTCAGGCATTTGTATTATTTTTAAATATTACAATTTAGGTTTAATGTCATTTTTATTCCATTTTTATTCTGTTTTAGTTTAATTTATTATTATTATTTTTATTTCCAGTTAGTACTTTTAATGCTTCAGCTTATTTCAGTTAGTTTCCAATGCAACATTTCTGTTTTTCATCTAAAGTTTTTCATGTAATATGTGTAATTTATTTCAGCTTTATTTCACTTTTTTCAAGTTTTTACACTATTAGTTAATGATTATAACCCGGTTTGATGAGATCAGCCTGTAAGTCACATGAGTTTGAAGTAAATAATGACAGATTGCGTTTAACCTGAACTCATGCTCACGGTGACCGTTGACCTCTGCTGATAGAGCAGGACACTACCTGTTAGATATCGCAGCGTTATTGACCTCCTGTATGTTGTATCTGTTGAAGTTTGATCACATTTTTGCCTTGATTGACTGGGATTCTGATTCTCTCTGCTGTCTGAAGCTCAGAATCCCATTGTAATTCAGTAAAAGCCAGAATGAACGGATAAAGTCGTTTCTGGAAAGCACTGAGACCGAAGCTTGATGAAGACTGAAGAAGAGCTGCTGTGATTGAGTTTTAGCCTGATTTCTTTTTTTGTTTGTTTTGACCTGCTGATCCTGATATGTAAGCATAATAAATGATGATCTTTCATCAGTGGGATGTTTGTGTATTTTTGTGTGTGTTCTGCACACTAATTAGTGTGTGTTGTCTGTGCTGCTTTATAAGTGTAAGGGGTTTCTTCATCACGGCCGTCTCTCTGATCATCTGCGGGATTCTTCTGCTCCGGCAGGTGGACATGGTGCATCTGAATCATTCGGTGAAGATCTGAGGAATGCTTGATGACTTCAGCAGTGGAGCGTGTGAACATCAGCGTCTCTATTCAGTCGCAGCTCAGCGGGGTTCTTCGTGTTCGCTGATGATGGAGCGCGTGTGTCTGTCTTCCTTCTGTCATGTTTTCCAGTGCAAAGGCAGTTCAGGCTCTGGTTGAGTTTAATGCACTCTTGTTTGATCACTTAAGGATGTGTTGACATGCTAAAGCTGGACTCTTTTCGGTGTTCTTGACCGTTTGTGTTTGCGCTGATGAACTTGTGTGTATTCTTCATGAGTCTTGCTTTCCGGTACAAATGATCTAAACACCCTCAAATCAACAGACATTTACTGGAGAAGCAAAATGACAGAAGATAAGAATGTCTTGTTTTAAAACAAGAACAAATATCAGAAAAGTACACTTCATTCACAGAGAAAACAAGACAAAAGTAAAAGGAAGAAAATCATATTTACAGTAGCTTTCCTGTCCGTGTTGTTTGACTATCATTGAGATATTATTGAGCTTTTGTTAATACTTTGAATTAGGTTTTTTAAAATATATTTTAGTTTTAGATTATTTGGTGTTGGTTTCTTCAGTACATCAAGTTAAACTAAATGAAAAAGAGAAATGTTGTATATACTCGTGTTAATGCTGCAGAACTCAATGAAACAAGCTCAATTTCAGCTACGAAGCAGCTCTAGTTCTAGTTTGGAGTATGATCTAGATTAGTTCACAACTACAACGTTCTACTCCCTATCTGAACTCAAATCTCACGCCGCTGCTGATTTGTGACGGTTTTAATGGCATAGATGATGAGGGAATGACTGCAGGCAGCGTCCAATGAAAGATGGCCATCCCATAATCCTTTGCAGTTTATAATGATTAGGAGCCCAAGGGGCTGATGGCGATCTTGCTGTGATGTCTCTAGTGTTCTGGTATCAGGCCTGCTTTCTGTCTCTCACTGTGGTTTAGCTGTAAGTATCAGGATGTAGTTGATGATAATAATGTGATGATCTTCTACAACCTCTCTCTCCTACAGCCGCTGAAGAATCACGTGCTGCACGTGAATGAGAAGTTAGGATTCGTTTTAAGTCAAGAAACTACAGGCTAAACCAGTGTTGTTCATGCACTGGTCAGTTTTGCTTCATTCAGACTAGTGGACAGAAAACACGCAAAATACACATTTAAGTGTTTCTTTTATTACACTTTATCTATTTGCTTCAATTCCGATTCATATCTTTTGGACATACTGTATCTATCCAAAGTTTTTTTTTCTTACATACACCGAACTTTAGTTCTGTCAAGAACTAACGCTAAAATCCAAAATCCCCTCTGGAAAAAACTCTTAATATGTCAACAAATTCAAAGAAAAATTATGAATCTGGCTTTATCCAACTTTCAGATTTTTTTTTTCTGTAAATGTATGCAAATTAGTGCATATTTAATTATATAATGCCACATTTGCATATTTAAACTTTACATTTCAGAATATTTGTAATACAAAAAAATTTCTGTAATTCTTAATGTAATCAATCAATTGGGTAACTTTGGTAATACTGATTAGTTTCTAGAACTGCTTTATTCACTTGATCATTCTAATATAAAAAACTGTAATTATATATATATATATATATATATATATACACTGAACAAAGCACTAAACGCAACACTTTTGTTTTTGCCCCCATTTTTCATGAGCTGAACTCAAAGATCTAAGACTTTTTCTATGTACACAAAAGGCCTATTTCTCTCAAATATTGTTCACAAATCTGTCTAAATCTGTGTTAGTGAGCACTTCTCCTTTGCCGAGATAATCCATCCACCTCACAGGTGTGGCATATCAAGACGCAGATTAGACAGCATGATTATTGCACAGGTGTGCCTTAGGCTGGCCACAATAAAAGGTCATTCTAAAATGTGCAGTTTTACTGTATTGAGGGGTCCGGGGAGGTCCGAAAACCAGTCAGTATCTGGTGTGACCACCATTTGCCTCACGCAGTGCAACACATCTCCTTCGCATAGAGTTGATCAGGTTGTTGATTGTGGCCTGTGGAATGTTGGTCCACTCCTCTTCAATGGCTGTGCGAAGTTGCTGGATATTGGCAGGAACTGGAACACACTGTCTTATACGACGATCCAGAGCATCCCAAACATGCTCAATGGGTGACATGTCCGGTGAGTATGCTGGCCATGCAAGAACTGGGATGTTTTCAGCTTCCAGGAATTGTGTACAGATCCTTGCAACATGGGGCCGTGCATTATCATGCTGCAACATGAGGTGATGGTCGTGGATGAATGGCACAACAATGGGCCTCAGGATCTCATCACGGTATCTCTGTGCATTCAAAATGCCATCAATAAAATGCACCTGTGTTCATTGTCCATAACATACGCCTGCCCATACCATAACCCCACCGCCACCATGGGCCACTCGATCCACAACGTTGACATCAGCAAACCGCTCACCCACACGACGCCATACACGCTGTCTGCCATCTGCCCTGTACAGTGAAAACCGGGATTCATCCGTGAAGAGAACACCTCTCCAAAGTGCCAGACGCCATCGAATGTGAGCATTTGCCCACTCAAGTCAGTTAAGACGATGAACTGCAGTCAGGTCGAGACCCCGATGAGGACGACGAGCATGCAGATGAGCTTCCCTGAGACGGTTTCTGACAGTTTGTGCAGAAATTCTTTGGTTATGCAAACCGATTGTTGCAGCAGCTGTCCGGGTGGCTGGTCTCAGACGATCTTGGAGGTGAAGATGCTGGATGTGGAGGTCCTGGGCTGGTGTGGTTACACGTGGTCTGCGGTTGTGAGGCCGGTTGGATGTACTGCCAAATTCTCTGAAACGCCTTTGGAGACAGCTTATGGTAGAGAAATGAACATTAAATTCACGGGCAACAGCTCTGGTGGACATTCCTGCAGTCAGCATGCCAATTGCACGCTCCCTCAAAACTTGCGACATCTGTGGCATTGTGCTGTGTGATAAAACTGCACATTTTAGAGTGGCCTTTTATTGTGGCCAGCCTAAGGCACACCTGTGCAATAATCATGCTGTCTAATCAGCATCTTGATATGCCACACCTGTGAGGTGGATGGATTATCTCGGCAAAGGAGAAGTGCTCACTAACACAGACATTGCTTATCAGACACCCTCTCCTATAAACCCCCCTACACAGACCACCCACTTCCAACTATGCAGAGCATATATCATGTCCTAGCCAGCCAGTATGACCCCATCGGCTACATTGTGCCATTCACGACACGAGCTAAAGTGATTGTGCAGTGGTTATGGGACAAGAAAAGAGAGTGGGACGACCCTTGATTGCCCGAGGAACTGTTAAGCTCATGGAAAGCCTGGAAGAATGAGCTAGACAATTTGCATCAGCTGGCCAAGGTGTTACTGTAGTGAACAGCTTGATCATCCCACCAGTCTAAGGCAGATCCATGTTTTCGGCGATGCTTCAGAACAAGCCTATGGTTCAGTAGCATACTTGCGAACTGAA